ACATCTTTTCCATAGAAAGATACTATACAGGGTGCTCGATAATCGGCCTGGTGCAGCATGAAGTCGAAGTGGGAGAGGTAGAGTGACCAGCAGGCCTGTCTCCGGTTGAGGTGCTGCGTCTTCCTGAAGTACTCCAAATTCTTATGGTCAGTCCAAATCTCGACAGGATCTGCAGCGCCCTCAAGGAAGTGTCTATACTCCTCGAGTGTGCGGATGATCATGAGCATCTCCTTGTCGTGGATTTCGTAGTTGCGCTGGACATCATTTAAGCTTTTGGAATAGAACACTACAGGGCGCCACTTCCCGTCCGGGGCAGATTATGAAAGAACCACCCCGTCGCATGATCAGAGCTGTCCGCCTCAAGTCGGAAAGGCCGTGCGTCGCCCCGAGTCCATTGCTTGCAAGGTCTTAAGTAGAGGAATGCCTGGAATTCTCTTTCCAACCATATATAGATTATCTCAAACGGGTCAAAACTCACCAAGATACAGCTCTATTACTGTTTTAAAAGACTCTGGATTGGGAAAGGGGAAATATATCACATTTTGTGAGTCAAGGATGGACTTGAAGCCAAAGTGTCAACTGGGCAGTCAGGTCCTCAACAGGTCCTGGCATAGACTGGCACCAAAAATATGCACAAGTTAATTTGAGTTAATATAACTTCCACAGTACTGAAGTACTAACAAAAGTTATTAGATTTGTGATCAATTGAAGATGAGTTGAAAATGTGGTCCTATGTTAATCGATCTTTAAACAGTAGTAATGTACTGCTAGACAAAAGAATGCTCAGCACCCAGAGAATAAGAAATGGGTATCCTCAGACAACCCCAGGAACAAATTTTGAAAAAGCGTGAAACCAGGTGTCCACAATTTCGCACTCGAAATTATTTCCTTTTTGGGAAATTTCATTAGCCCTCCACAACTCTCAGTTCTTATTCTCCTGCTTCTCATCTTTTTGAAATCTCCGGGTCAATATCTTTCACTCATACAGTTCAGCTTTCCCACAACTGAAATTACTTTTTGGCAGGGCAGTAAATAACTGCCACATACAAAATTGATTCAATGATCAGCGCAAGATTCAAAGTCGACTACAGTCACGCGCGTGACTCTCTCTCTTCTGTACCACCACCATCTATGGCGACATAAGCTCCTACCCGCCTCTCCGCGCCTCTCAGGACTACTAGGTGGCAATAACTCACAACTGGGAACTCAGAGGGCTCCCAGGCCTTGCTTTCAGCCCGGAACAAGACTCTAGGCAACAACTCACTCCTGGGACTTCTGGGGCGGAATTTCGGGAAAGCGCCAGTCTGCGCAGCCTCAGACAGTCAGTCCTATGAGGCCCAAAGCCGAGGCAGCTGTTCATGGCCCAAATTCACACCTCGCGCGATCGCGGCCGCGGATCCACGCGGAAACGCATTCGAGAAGGGCCGCCGATGTTCTCTTCAATATTCTGGACGTTTGGAGGCGATCCAACGGCCGCGCCGAGTGTGGCCGTAAACCGCCCGTTTCGCGCCAAACAGGCCCTCGGCCACATCCAGCCATCTCGAGGAAGATGGAGGGGACTTGTCCCCTCATGTTGAGCGCTTTTTAAGGCCTATCGACGGGCTGCATCCGCCAGACTCGGACTTGGCCGTGTGTTCCCGAGACTCGCCAGCGCTGGGTGCGTTTCTGGCGCGTTGCGCCTGGCATCCCGCCATCTGCATTCCCGCCTCCGCCATCGTATGCGCCACTTCTGCCCATTCTGGGCTCAAATCTAGCAAGAACTCGCCGTTGCGCGCGATGGCGACCACAGATCGACGCGAAAATTCAAAATGGGCTCGAGACGAGCGGCCGACGTCCTCGTCACGAAACTGGACCTTTGTGGCGATCTACCGGCTGGATGCTGGCCGGCAACGCGCCCGGGTTTGCCCGAAAATCGCCCGTTTCGCCCCGAACAGGCCCTCGGCCACGTGGAGGAAGACGTAGGGGACTCATCCCAATACGCTGGACGCGTCGCAGGCGTCTGCGGCGCGCCGCATCCACCATTATCGGCCAAGACTGCGTCCGGGCCAGCGCCGTGCTCCCGTTTCGGCCGGGATTGGCGCCGGTGTTCCTCGGGCATGTCCGGGGAGGCTCGAAGACCATGTCCCAACTAGTTCGGCGCGTCTCGGCGCTTGTCGGCGGGCCGCATCGACCATCGTCGCTGTTGGCGGCGTTGTGGGCAAGACGGGTAAGCGCTGGGCTGAGTTCGTGCTCGTTCCGGCTGAAAGCTTAACCACAGGCAGCGCCATTGTGGTGCACTCCGAGTCCTTCGTCGAGCGCACACTGCGATAATGGTACGCGCGCTTCGGAAACTTCCTGTACCAAACGTACAAGGACGCATGCTTCTTCGGGATCTCCATGGGGCTGCTGATCATGCCCTTCGGCACCGGGAAACACGCCTATCTAGTAAGTGCCTCTTCCTTTTGAATATGAAGCTGGTAATGATATCATTAGGGCCGTTTTTTTCGCTGCGACCAAGCTGAAAGTAATGCTGGCGCATCAGGTGCTTACCTACGACATTAAGGCCGTCGTCGACGGCGTGCGGCAGCCCGACAATGTCTTCGGGATCCGCACAAGTCCGAACCCCCGAGGACAGGTGTGGGTGCCCAAAAAGTGGATTGATCGTGCACCTTTCAGGGAACATGTGTTGCGAATTGCAAGGGAAGTACACCTATGTACTGAACAGTGAATTTGAGCCGACTCTCCGAGATAGCTTCTATGGAAATGGATACTCGCTGGAAACCTGAATGCGTATGTGTCCCATAAGTAGCCGCCCATCTGACGGCAGTCCGGATCGTGGAAAAAGACCGGGGAAACAACTTGCTTGTTCACTTCGAGACCGGGCTGATCTTTGTTGGCAAGGCTTTGCATCACACGGACATGCAGCGTGAATAAGATGCGCAATTCATTGAAGGTATGCATAATGGTCGGAACTTTTGTGCCCCGGACGGTGATCTTCACAAACACCTACAAGAAGCCTCTTGGGGTATCAAGCAATGGGATGGAAGCATATGCTCGTCGAGTCGGAGACCATAGCCTACCCTATATAAGTGGAGGGTATTCTCGGTGACTACTTCGATGCAGTTCCTCTCACCGGCCCTCCTTCTTGTGCTCGCTCAGCCGGCGCTAAGCCACTACCTTGTGTACCTCGGGACCAACGTGGGGGGTTACGTCGGCAACACGCTCAATCCGGCGGGCGGCTTCAACACAGTCTCGCTCAACCCGACCAACGAGAACATCCCGCTCCGCATCCACGTCCACAGCGACACGCCCGACGCCGCCAACGCGACGCCACAGCGCTTCGCAATCGAGGTTGGTCCTAAGTCGAGGAAGCGCTGGAATGGATTCACTCAGGCTGTTGACAGGACACCACTCTAAACGCGAGCACGCACCCGTTCATCGGCGGGATCGGGGGCTCCATCAACACTCCTGGATCGTACGCCCTTATTAAGCTGCTCGCCGCCCTCTATAATTATCCGTTGTAGCTCCATACCCCTCGGTGGCACGGGTCCGACCACGATCGGAGCCAAGCCGTCCAGCGGGCCCAACACTCTCACCGACGCGACAGGGAAGGCCAGTCTTTCGGCCAGCGCGATTGTTGGTTTGTTTATGTGCTCCACCACATACCCGCTGACGACCTGTGATAGTGGACCATCGACCCAAGCGTCGGGCTCGGTCGTTTGGTTCCCAAGTGGGTGAACGAAGACGGTACGACGACAGCTGCGAGTGTGGGGCTCTATCAGGACTCATTTGTCTTGGTTGGAGACAAGACGGCATTCCAGTCGGCGCATCAGGGAGTGCAATGGGTGGTAAGCTTCTCCGCAGACTAGGTAAAGGCATGAGCGTTGACTGATAATGCATAGAATCTCACCTTGATCGAGTAATTGGTAGTTTTCATCCGTGTTGCGCTAGATATTTGGCAATTGAATCAACTTGGGACTTGTGGCTGGGCTGCTTTCCATCGACCCATTGGAATATTGCACAAGTTAGATCCTGATTTACGCATTTTGGAAGGGGGGACAAGAGAAGGTGGCTCAGGACAACGTCGGAGCTTTGGTCGTGGGAGCTCTGAGCGAAGGCACTCGCAAGATGGCGTCAAATGGCGCGAGAACAACCCAAGAGATGGTGGTTAGGGTCGGACGGGAGACCCTTTGCGAAAGAACAGGGATGTGGAGGGAGCATAGATTCATCGTATGTGTTGCTGTTGTACACCATTTTACACGGCTAGTCTGTCTTTTCCCGCCTCGCTATGCTTAAGCTCCAACTCCGATGGCACGAAGGTAGCCCACACGATGGTTGTTGACATCCGTCGCAGCGCTACGCGCATGGGGAATCCACTTCGGCTCGTCTTGGAAGAGCCGCAGGGCCTTGATGTTGTCCCGTTCGTCGAGGGTGAAGCGGTGGTAGATGCCAGCGGGCAGGATAAGAAAGTCTCCGGGCTCGGCGGCCACGCGAATCCAAGCGTCTGACGGTGTTTCTGTGAAGCATTGTCAGCGGAGTAAGGGAGCGAAAATGCTACAGCGACGCACCGCGGACATCAAAGAAGCCGCTCCCACTCAGTATGTAGCGGATTTCCTCGTCTTCGTGCATGTGTCTGGCGGTAGGAAAGCTCTGGTCAGCGACAGTCAAAGCAATGAGAAGGTCGCCACGCACTCTTGGAAGAAGCCCTTGATCTTCGCCTCGTAGACCTCGCCCATGCCCTCCCTCGACACGTCAATAGTGTCACTGTTCTTGTACCCCCTCTCCCGCGCAATCCCATCGAGCTTCTCTTCGTAGCCGGCCACGGGTATCTGCCACGTCAGCACGCCCATCTGCGCCAGGGTGTCGGGGGCCACGGGACGGCTGGGGACGGGCTCGTGCGCGAGCCGCTGGTCGCCAGGGACGTTGTCGAAGTAGTATGCCCGCATGGGAGGTGGCGGAGAAAAGAGAAGGAGCGATTTCCTTTTTGGGACGACTCTTTTTTTCTGATCCCGCCACCATGGGTACACTTCCAGGTCATGTCAGCCACTTCAGATACCCTCAAGATCTTATATGGCTTCACGGATGACGATACTACCGTCTTCGCGACCTTGTTTTCAATGGCTGGCAAGTACTTATACTCTGATTTGGACAAGCTGACAAAAACATCGACGCCTGAGGTCTGTCCATTCGGGGGTTTCGGGGTTATATCTAACACCTATCAAACGACACATTCATCTCGACTCCACCATCTGCACAGGTATCTCAGTGGCTCTCGCAACCGTATGTCGCCGATTCATTTCCGGTGAGATGGCGGCTTATTCGACAGATTCCGTGCCTACTTCCTGTTCAATGACTGCATCCAACGAGTCCTCTCTATATCCGTATTCGCAACGCATCTAGGATCCGCCGGCCCTCCTGGGAAACCACATCGACCGGCTGGGCGTGGGGTTCTAACGCCACTGTTGCCCGTGGCGTTGCATTCAAATTCTCTACCGAGCTTTCAAGTTCCATCTGTCCTGTTGCCTCCCCATCGAAAATGATCGACGAGGGTAGTTGCGGCGCGGCAACGGGCTCATCCCGTCTGTACCCGTTTATTTGTTGGCTCCACCTATGGCCGAGCGGGCGGCTTGAATATGGCGTGGGCGGCGTCCGCGGTTCAGATCGCGCGTCAGGAGGAATTTCTGCGGTTCTACTCTTCGAGAAAACTCCCTCCGGAGCGCGAATGTCCGCGAATACATCGTAGTCCTCAAGAACTGGCAGCTGGCTGCGGTCCATCCAATGGAGTACATTTCGGTGAGCATAGCCAGCACTCAGTGAAGCGACTTACGCGGGTGTAGGCGACCAGATGCCATTTACACGACCGTCGCCCCTGCTGCTTTACCACCTGGAAGCTGTACGTCTGTTTTGTGAGGCCGTCCGACTTTCCTGGCCGTTTATTCCGCGGAGGAGGAGCAAGATTCAGGCTAGGATTGACCACTCTCTGTGCTCTGCAACGGTAGATCGTCAGCGAGGAAATGGTCATGGCAGGACACGCTTTACCGTCGAAGCGCCTTCGCGTCCTTCTCTGCATCTGTCATCTCGATCTTCTCCTGGTAGAACAATGAATCGCCGACGACTCTGCTCTGGGACCTGCACTGGCTGAGCTTCTCTGCATTCCCAGTCACATGCTGGCTACATACCAACGTCGGCCATCGGTCCACCGCACCAGACCCCCGTCTTCATCAGACTCCTCCCAGACGAAGACATTACCGGCTTGCAGCTCGTCGCGTTCGCTCCCGCTTAGGCGTACGGTTATAAGGCGCAGTAGCCTGCGACGGACGGCCTCGAGCACGACCAGCGCGTCAGCCATATTGCGGATGTCTGCATAGGGATACTAGTAAGACGACTTGTCATGAGCGGAGAACAAAATTGACAACTCACGGAGTCTCGGGTGGGTAACGTTTGCCCTAGTATATGGCGCTGACCCAATCGGTAGGGATGGCGGTAGGGCTATCCGGGGCAGGATATGTCGCGCAGTAATGTCGGGGTTGAGCCTGAAGCTATGGCCATCGACATTCATTTCGTGCTGGCGCTTGCACGAAGAGCCTGACCCAAAGCTATCTCCGCACCTGCCTGTTATATTCCCCATGGATGAAAAGGCGATACGGCATCCGAGCCCTCTAACCCTTCTTTCAGCCACACTATTCGCGGTATCTCGTGATTCCTGTAAGACGGCGGTCTATACGAGCGTGATTTGCTGCTGGCACGCGTGCAGTTGCACCGCTTCCACAACTCGTCCGAAATCGCCTAGGTCAGCCTGTCTTTCAACAGCGCTCGCCCTCCAGAGTCCATTTCCATTTCCTCTGTCGCAACCTCCGCGCCTTCTTTTGTGGCACAACAACACACCGTTACACACGCTCCATTCTAATCTCTCCGTGTGTGCTGTCAACGCCCGCAGATGTCGGCCCACATCCCTTGTGCTTCTCGATTGCCGCCGGCGTCAATAGCCTTTATCGCACAGCTACGCCCCCACGGTGCTTATATGCCTATTTGCAGATCAAATCCAAACGGCGACTCCATTCGCGAAGAGCCCGTTATCGCAGCCATGCATGACAGAAAGCCCCCGGGACGTTGACTTCGATATCAATTCAGGGTCGATGTCGCCTGCACGACGAAGGTTACTTATCTACTATTCCTGGAGCATTATAAATACCCCGCAGGAACGTACTGTCGCCGGTGGGCTTTGACTCACGGAGAATGGAAAAAGAGTCGCCAAACGCGCGTCAAACGCCGAGCTGTTGCCGCGGAATTTCCCTCACGGGCCCCGCTCAGATACAGAACATGATCGGAACAGCTCTGCGAAGCGCTCGTCGACACGCAGTGACTCACCGTGACTGTCCTTTGCGAAAGCTATCATTCGCCAGTCCCAGGAACTCGATATCGCCGTGAGTATGCGCCGGCCACCATGGACAGTTTTGAACTGAAGTTTGTCAACCCCTTCGCGGACTTTCAATTCTAAGTCTTAAAATAGCAAAGTATTTAGAGTGCTGGATGCAGGTTTAATTTAACGAGTGCACAGAAACAGAGAGCTAAAAGTTATGATGTAAGATAGTTATTGTTATTAAATTCTGACTATTCTTGCAATACTACAATTATCGATCGATGATCAAAAATATATGGAAACATTCATCTAATATGTTATTATGATCTTAGCGCCAACATTAGCTTGTGGGCTCAACAAGCTATAAGAATATATATATATATATACATTATATTTGTCTTTTACATTTATTGCTATTATCATTGTTATCAAGCAACCTGGTATAACTTTTATTTTCTTTTATTTCATAAATAAAATAAAAAGGGGTTAAAACCCCTTTTTATAGTTTGTCAAACAGAAATTGTTGGAGCCTGAAGTATGTGATCCTGCTGATTTGTAGTCCCATGTTGCAAATGATGTATAAATATCTCATATAGAAAGGCACTAATAATTTGACTATTCTTACATTATGATCAGGGCTGGTGCATGTAACTGCATACTCACTTCCCTTATTGCAACATACTGTACTAATCCGACCTTAAGTTCAGTGATTTTGAATTTTTTGACCTCCGAGATGGCTGAAAATTTTTTCTTTTGAATTTAGCTGAATGTTAACGATGAGTTTCTTTAGCTATGTAACACGTAACATGAACTTAGGGTCAGATTAGTACAGTATCTGGACTGTCTGGACATGTTTTTTGGCTTGATAAAGCCACAGGACAATATGCCGATTAACACAAGCTTATTGATATCCTCAACAATTATCTCTAGTTGCTGCCTTTGTGGAAATCACAGCTTAAATTGGTGAATACTATATCAATTTATTCGATTTGGCAGTCACAGGTTACACAGGTCACACAGGTCACACTAGACCTCCAGCACCAAAATATTACAGTACGTCACAACTTATCATTTAAATGCCAAATATTAGACAGTCATTGAAGCATCAAAAATTTAGGCAGCACCAAAATTTCAATTTTGGCTACCACTTCCTGACACCAAATTGAATAAACTGATACAGTAAATGCAGGACACTGGGGGCAATTACCGCGGCTGACAGGCTATGGCATGTCATGAGGCAAACATGCAGCGGACTGACGGCGGTCTGATGGCAGTCAGGGAATTGTTAAAGATTTGAAAGAACAGCCGGCGATATAGTTGAATACCTGGCGCGCAAGCACCTCAGGCCTACTGCAGCTCTCACCCTGGCCATTGCATTCTGTGCACTCACAGTGTAGACATGGCCTTCGCGACAGCCTTGGCGACAGCCCACGATCGGAAGCCGGCGATCCCACCCGCGGCCCGCGCCCCTGCTCCGGCACCTCCAGCTCCTGTCCCTATGGAGTTGGACCGCACCAGGGCTCGGGGTGCCCCTCGTCATGCCTGCTTCAGGTGTGCCGACCCAAACCATCTCGCCCGGGATTGCCCCCTCCCCGCCGATGTCCGGTCGATGGACATCCTCGACGAGGTGATCCAACAACTCGGTGACGAGATGTTAGCAGAGTTGATCGCCTGCTACACGGACACAGCTGCCCTGCCGGAGACGGCAGCGGAGTCGATGGCTGGAGAGGATTTTGTCCCCCGCGACGAGTGACTGGTGTGCCCTCGTTCGCGTCTATAAATCGTTTTGCCTCTTTGTATGATGAATGCAGTTCCTTGCCCTACAATGAGCCCGAAATGGAAGACACACCCTCTCCTGCCCCCACCTCGACTCCGACTCCGTCTCCGACTCCGCCCGCAACTCCGGTCATCGTCCTTCGCTGCCTCACTGCCTGGGAAAAGAAACTGCCCAAGCAGTACACTGTTGCCGCTGCCCCTGGGGCAAACTCCCTCCACCTCCCGTTGGAGCTAGAGTCCACCACCAGTGCGTTGAAGCTCTCGCTCTCTGGGCTTGTCGACTGTGGTGCCACCTCTGACTTCATTGACACGAACTATGTCGCTCGGAATGGCATTCCGGTCCGCACTCTTGATCAGCCGATCCCGGTCTTCAATGTTGATGGCACCCCTAATGATGCCGGCTCCATCAAACAGATCGCAGACTTGGTCCTGCGCTAGAGAGGCCATGCCGAACGAGCTCAACTGGCCGTCCCCCATCTTGGCAAGCAAGACCTCATCCTGGGGTACTCCTGGTTGCGGAAACACAACCCAGAGATCAATTGGGAAACCAAGGAGGTCAAGATGACACGGTGTCCCCGCAATTGCTCGACCTGCCGTGAGGAAGAGCGCGTCGAGCGGACTGAGCTGTGTAAGGGCAACCTCGCGAGGCTCGAAATCAGAGTCCTGAGCAGAGGGGGAATCCTTAGTGAACTACTACAACAGGAAGGGACGCTACAGACTCACCTGAGCAGAGGGGGAATCCTTAGAGAACAAGCCAAGGAGCCCTCTGCCCAGGTGCACTACTATATACCAGTGACCGGAGTAATGATAGAGTGACTGCATAGTGACGGATGACGGATGGGAGAAGTCAGGCATCGCTAATGGACCCTAGGTGAGTGTCGAGTAGCCCTTGAAGCTCCGGAGAGGCAGGTTTGGGACCGTGATGCCAAGGGAGGGGCCCAGGCATCCCTAGAAGGCCTAAGAAGGGCTTCGGGAGGTCCAGGCTGCCTCTGGGCGTCTCCGCTTGTGACCGTGACCGTGACAACCGGAATCGGAATCGGAATCGGAATCGACTCCGGGTGTGTGACCGTGACGTGACGGCCGGAAACGGAGAGGGAAGGCGTGGAGCGGAAAGGGAAGGAGTCTGGTCTAGCCCAAGGGCCGGGGAGTGTCGAAGAGGACCAATGGGAATGGCGGCCAGCCATGACCACTGGAGGGTAGCGACAGGGGTCACTCGGAGACGTCCCCGGACGTCTCCAGAGAGGTGGAGGTGTGAGGGCGTGCAGCCTGGGGCGCTGCAGTAGGCACGAGCCTTAACGGCAGTAGGCCTCACCCAGGGGAAGGCCCGATGACGGGGGCCGTGGTGGCGGAGTGGAGAGCGGAGCCATGGCAAGGCTCAGCCATCCGAACATAACCCTGAACGCTGACATGGGTTGGGGACACCCAAGAGGTCCAGCAGGTAGAGATCGTAGGGAGACCTTGATAAGTGACAGCCCAGAGAGGCTAGAAGGCCATAGGCTCAAGGTCTCGGAGGGAAGTGGTGCGTCCACATCCGGAGGGTCTCCGATGGCATTAGTGATCCCTGATGGTGACTCCGCCGGCGGAGAGACTCCCGGAAAGGGGTGGCCAGGGAAGTCGAAGACTGGGGATCACTGGATGTGGGATGTGGTGCGGGCAGTGGAGGGAGAGCGTCAGGGTGCGGAGACGCGGAGACACGAGCGGAGACGCGGAGACGCGAGCGGAGACGCGGCGCTTGATGGGATCAAGTGACGGCATCAGGGTTTCCCCTGACAAGCTGTGCCAACTCCGGTCGCTCCAGAAACGTCTCCGCTCCGGCCCGTTCCCCTCGGTTTGCACTATGGACCTCTCTGGCCCTGAGGACGGAGACGATTCCGACTTCGGTCTCGATTCCGACCTGCCACCTCCGACTTCATTGACACGAACTACGTCACTCGGAATGGCATTCCGGTCCGAACTCTTGATCAGCCGATTCTGGTCTTCAATGTCGATGGCACCCCCAATGACGCTGGCTCCATCAAACAGATCGCGGACTTGGTCCTGCGCTACAAAGGCCATGCCGAACGAGTTCAACTGGCCGTCACTCACCTTGGCAAGCAAGACCTTATCCTGGGGTACTCCTGGTTGCGGAAACATAACCCAGAGATCAATTGGGAGACCAAGGAGGTCAAGATGCCGTGAGGAAGAGCGCGTCGAGCGGACTGAGCTGCGGCGACTCCGGTCGCTCCAGAAACGTCTCCGCTCCGGCCTGTTCCCCTCGGTTTGCACTATGGACCTCCTCAATTCCGACCTGTCTGATCTGACACCGGACTCGGACTCGGACGACGAAGATGACCAGCTCGAAGATGGTGACCACATCTTCTACACCTTGTTCTGTCCCTCAGAGGAGATACGTGCAGGTAGCACCGTCTCACAGCGCCTGGCCG